GAATGTCTCATTCATTCATACAATAGACATTGGCTTTAGGAACTATGAAATAGGTTGGGTCCACCCAAAATTCTCCATGCTAAAAAGAGGGAAGAATCCAGCATGAATGATTCTTAGGTCCAGGTCTGGTTGACTGGTGGATAATAGAATATACCTTAGGGTGGTGACGATGTGGAGAGGAGTAGGAGGAGGGTAAATAGATTTTGGACCTGTTGACTTTGCAATAATGGTAGTACATCCAAGTGGATATGTACAATAGACAGTTGGCTTTCTAGAGTCTTAAGTTAAGGAGAAAGGTGGGGGGCCTGGTTAGTACCGTATTTGCCAGCGTATAAGACGACTGGGCGTATAAGACGACCCCCTAACATTTCCACTCAAAATACAGAGTTTGTTATATACTCGCCGTATAAGACTACCCCCTCTTCCGCACACCTTCCACACACCAAATAAAAAGTAAAACAATATCAGATTTGATTTCAACATTTATATTTATATTCAAATGCTTATGACATGCAGGAAAACTGTCACAAGGCTGTATGCAATCAAACATATACATAAATCGCGATTCGCGATTTTGCGCTATCATACTGGGTGTATGGTCGGCTGTGTGTGATTTTGCGAGTGTGGTAAAATCGCATAACAGCAAAATCGCATAACAGCCGAGCATACACCCAGCAGCGCTGCTTATGCCTGAACGGTATGTGGAATGAAGTGGGAGGGCATCCGGAGGCCACTATGGCACGGGGCAAGCACTATGGGCAGTCTACCTGAAGTGTACCTGGCGTATAAGACGACCCCCCACTTGGAGGCATATTTTTCAGGGCCAAAAAATCGTCTTATACGCTGGCAAATACGGTAGTTAAAACCATAGAGTATGGGAGAATACTGGGGGTAGGGGGGTATTGCTGAATATGAAGCTTCAGGAATACTAATATTTATTGTGAGTCAAGGAATAGATTTCAGTAAAGAAAGGAAACTAGGATGGATGGACAAAACAGGAGGAGGACAGCCAGAATCAGGAGATGATACAGAGGCCAAGGGACAAGAGGGAGAAAGGATTGCCCGTTGGCCCAAGAGCTGTAGTGAAGTTAAGCTAGAAAATGAACCATGCACATTTGATTTTTCACAAGGGATTATTGGTGACTTTGGCAAGAACTGTTGTAGTCAAGTACAGAGGTAGAGAGGTGGTGGCCAGATGGCAGAGATCGAAGAAGTGAACGTGAGGTGAAGGAATGCTTTTAGATTATTATTTTAGGATGCTAGGGAAGAGAGAGAGAGAGAGATGATGGGTTTTTGTTTTTGTTTTTGTTTTTTTTTAGAAAGTTGGTGAATATTCAAACATTCCTTAAATGCTAAAAAAACCCCCAAAAACTTATGTAAATGAATTGGGGGATGTGGGAGGCTGATAATGAACTATGGGAAGTCCTTGAGGAGATTGATGGCTGTAGTGGCAGAAATGGAAACCAGCTCTGGGGTGAAGGGAATCGTTTCTGAAGAGGGGGAGGTGCGGAGGAAAGAAGTGCGGGTAGTCGGGGTTGCAGGTAAATTTCTAGGTGGGGGGCAGTGGAAGCTTTGGCTCCTCGTTTGAAGGACTCAACTTGAATTAAATGAGAGAGGGCTCCCTTGGAGAGTATAGGGTTAGCTCTTGCCAAGGAGAGTGATTTAAAAGCTGTTACAAAGGAGAGAAAATTTACATGGACTCTGTGGAAAAGATTGAAGACCCTGATGGGTTGTGACTATGACAACTTCCTGTTGATTGCCTAGTATCCACACACATTTTCTTAGCCGTCTGTAAGGCTGATTCCTCTCCTGCCCTTCTGTAGCACTTTGTTCATACAGGAAGGATAGCACTTCTCATCACGTTATAGAAAGTAGAAATCATTCCCCCAAGTGAGGATTGTAAGCTTTGAGAAGATAATTCATACTTTTTTTTTCTTCTTCAATGTATCCCCATATCCTATCATGATGTTTCAGATTAGATAATTCTCAATAAATGTTTGTTGTTTTTTTTCAATTTCTGAGCTGGACTTCAGTGCTGTGACTACCATGTATTGAGCTTTCTCTGCAGGGGTTGTTTTCAGGACTGTGGTATGAGGTGATTTCGGTTGGTGACCTGTATTCACACAGGTTATAAGGTCCAATGTTTTTGGCATTTGATGTAAAATAATTTCTCCATTTCGTTTCTAATTTATTGGTAACCCTGCCATCACTGATGGTTATAGTTATCTATTCCTATCTGATGTAGACTGCTATAGGCATATCTTGATTACTCAGAATTTCCTCATTCATATTAATTATCTATGTTCCTTTATTTGCTCTCTATATTTCAAATCTTTTCTCCACTTTGCTGTTTCATCAGAAAGCAGTAGGCAGAAAAGAGAAAACCCAAATCAGATAATTGGACAAAATAATAGTTTTGAAATAAACATTTGTAGAAGATGAAGTTGTAGTGAACAGCTAGTGGAGTGAATTTTTTGGACTGCCCTTATTTATTAATTATTAGTGTAAGGGCTATTCAACTTATGGCTTATCCAGGTCAGTTTTACTTTGAATTTTATTGACAGCATTTATTCTATTTAAACTGCTTCAGCTATAAGATTTTTTTCTTGCAACGATGCAGTGCATTAGTGCTTTCCCATATTTAGAGAATTCATTCTCTAAACGTAAGTTATGAAATTGTACAGTGTTTGCTGACCACTTCTTGCTTACCTAGAGCCTTCTCAAAAAGTTCACCAGGATAACTGAGCTCTTTACGTGTATCTCTTTTATTGAAGGATGATTTTTAGAAAGTAAAATCTTGAGTCAGACAAATATAACATGAACACGGGTCAAAGATTTTATTCCACGCATTAATAAGTAAACCACCAAGATGGTAAGACCATCTTGGTTTTTAAAGAAAATTGGAAGAACAGACACATTTATAGGCAATCAGGAATGCTAAAATGAATTCGTAAATTTATGCAAATTGGTCAATATCCTCAGGGCGATAAAATGTAATTTTTTGAAATCCTTTCTTCCACCAGGCAGAAATCAATTGCAGAACAAAGTTTATTTGCATCTCTGTGGACATGAATCATTTGCATTACCATCAGTTTTCTGCAACTTACAAAATTGTAAAATAGCCCAAACACAGTGAAAGGCACAGGCTCCTATAGAATCAGATACTCCCCAAAGAGTTGTCAGACACTGCCCAGCACGCAGTTGAAAGGACACCTAGTAATCCTTTTGTCTATTTCAAAATTGTTCTCCACATTTTCTGACACTGCCTTTCTGATTCCAACATCACAGTCACTTACTTCTCTCCTTTTTGTACACTATAATCTCCCCCTCAATGCTTCTTTCTCAGGGGAAGTAATTCAGAACCCCAGGGTTTTTAAGAATGCAAATGGAAGTCCAGGTTTTGTGCAGGGCTTTCTGATATTTGGATGGCTAGAAATGTAGAGAACCAGGACAAGGTGAACTGTAGACGCCCACAACCTTGGTTCAGACTGCAAATTCTCAGAAATATAACAGTTTGGACTTGCCAGTCCGAGAAGGTCTAGATCAATACATGAAAATACTGTGTTGCTTAGTTGTTATAGTATCACCTTGCATATTTATAGCCCAATATTGTTTAGAGGGCACTTGCCCATAGATTAATATTTTTTTCCCTTGATGCTCACCACAATTCTGTGAAGTAGTCCAGTGTTAATTTTGGATCCTCTTACTTAGAGAGTAAACCAAGGCACAGAAAAGTGAATTGCTTAAGGTCACACACATACTGAAAGTGACAGGATTTGTACCCAGGCCTTCTGAATATTGTCCAGTTCATATTCCACTATGCATCCTAGCATTCACTTCCATGGGCATTTACTGAATAATATGTTCCTAGAATAATAACATCCTGTGCCCCTGATTTTTATTCCTAGTTTATATAGAAGGAAGAACTCTTAAGGATGAACTGTTAGAGTTGATATTTATATTTGTTAGTGCTTTTTTTTTTTTGAGGGAAAAAACCAACTAGCTACTTAGATAAAAGTTGATAAATGGATGAAGAATATGGAAGACGACTACAGTTTCTCCACATTCTTGCACATTTTAGATGTAAAATGAGTAATTGCATTTTCTTTCCCAACCCCTGTTTTACAAGGCAACAACTGGTAGTTTATCCTATTGAAAAGAGTTGATAGAATAAACCCTACTTATTATGAGTATCTCTCATGGTTTCAACTTGTTTCTTAGCTTTATTGTGAGTGGTTTATGGTTTCTAGGGTGAAGGAATACCTGGGCTATACATTTGGAAATTGTATGGAGGTGAGAAAGTGCCTTTCAATTGTATATAATCCTTTATAATACTTGCATTTAAAGTGTCTATTGCCGTCTATATTTTTCAGTAGGAAAATAGCCATAGAGAATATTGTTTTCTCCTTAGCATTCTAAGACTTTCCATCCTAGTGGAAAGATGTGCTTTGATTCATCTGATTTACTTCTTATATTAAAGTATGGTACAGCCCACCACCTTTTTTGGAAATGCAACATAAAAATAGAGATAAACTTGTATCGGTTTAGCAAGTTCTGTTTGGAGGAAGTGTATAGAAGTTGAGACTGTATATAGTATGTGATTTGAATTTCTGTTCAAAAATTTCCTATGGTAAGGACAGTAGTTTTCTACATACATTAGTAGGCAGTAATGATTACTTCAAAGCTTCCAAAACCAGATACTATACCTGCATATTCCAATACAGGTTGCTGAATTTATTCCCAAGATACATGGTAATGTATACTTGGTATTACTGAGAATGAATAAGGAAAAGTTACAATATTGTCCACCAGCTGTACACCTTAATATTAAAATAATTTGTTTCTCTTTTTCACCTTGCCTATGTTCTCTCTGTGGCTGCACTGCTAGCTTAAGTAAACAATTGAAGCATTTGTCTTGTATCTTAAGGATTTGTAACATACCTCAGATCTCATAGTAAATAATTCTATAATGAAATGAAACTTTTCTTTTTCTTTTCCAGGTTCAGCTCAGCTATTATTGAATGTAACCAAATTTGTAGAATACACCAACTGCAACAATACTATTCTCCTCCCATGCATCGTTTATAATATAGAGGCAACTGCCCTTGCCGATCTCTTTGTAAAGTGGAAATTAGGAGGAAGCTACATTTTTACCTATAATGGAGCTACCAATGAGTCCATCCCCTTCAACTTTACGAGTGCAAAGATCTCAACACGAGATTTACTAAAAGGCAATGCCTCTTTGGAGATGGATAGGAAGGATGCCGTTCCAGGAAACTACACCTGTGAAGTAACAGAATTAAGCAGAGAAGGTGAAACCACCGTTGAACTAAGATATCATACTGGTAAGACTTCTATAAAAGCTTCCCTGTTATTTGTCCTGCAGCAGCCTGCTCCTGTTAGAAAAGGGGCAAAATGGGACCAGGAACTCCTTTGAATGAAAAAACAGGCTAGTAATAATAAATGTTGATGTAATGTTGAGCAGCTTTAAGATATGAGTTTTATCTGGTTTCCTTTTTTTTTTTTATAGTAAAACTTTTTGCTGTTGGTAATTTATATGTTGTGTGGTTCCCAGACTTTGGGTCTGAGGACTATTCTGTTGGGGCAAGCAGTCCTGGGATCATCTACTCTGCATTTCTGTTTGCTGCCATCAAAAGCATTTTCTTTGATATGATTCATTTTCCAGGCTGTTTCCAATTATTTAGCCTTTTTGTTTGTTTGTTTGTTTGATCAAGGGTTGACAAGCCATGCCTGTGCTGGAAAGAATAGATTAGGAGGAGAATCAAGAGATTGGAAATCAGGTAATCATGGACGATCCCTTGCGACTTCCTTTGCCTTGCTATGGTGTTCTCCTTGGCAAAGATGTGAGAGAGCTAGGGATCCAGTTGAATTTATTTGAATTCATCCTGGATTATTGCACCTTGCTTCTGCCCTTTCTTCATAAACTTGGGTTGGTGAGTTTTATAAAGCAGTACAGTTAGCAAAAGTAGACAGTCTCTTTCTTTTCTATTCTTTGCTGCACCAGCTGATTTCTTTAACCACATACAGGTGCATTCTGACTTGATATTTTGAAAGCTCTTTAGAATCACTAGACATATTACTGATCTCAGGGTAAGACCATCCTTTGAGAACCTCTGCTTTATATGGGATCAGAACAGTTTAATTGGATCAACTATTTGCCTTCTATTCTTCTAGCGTTTGCTGTTTCAAATTGTCCATTACCAGATTGGGAATGGGGTGTTTAGTTTGATGGACTGTTTTGACATTGTTTAGGGTTGGGAATTGGGAGGTCTGAGTTATAACCCCTGTTCTGCAACTTAACTATTGGCCTGTATTGAACTTGAGAAGTTACTTCACTGAGTCAAGTTAACCTTTATCTCTAAAACGGGAATGAAAACAGATTCCTGCTTCCAGTATTCCACAGTCTAATGAGCATCAAATGAGATCCCTTGTATACAAGTCCTTTGTAAACCGAAGTGTTTTGCAAATGTTAGTTGTGTTCCTGGAACATTTATTTTATAAAGTAAGAGTTGTTGAAGCTGGTATGTTGCGAGAGCGAAGTTTGTGCAGTGAGGAGCGGGCAGGAGATGGCTTAGACTTTGGGGATTTAGGCAATAGAAATCATTTTTACTGTGTTGTGCTTTTTTTTGCAAATATAGTTATAAATGAGAACTAGAAATTGCTTAATAGAGAATTAATAATAGTAGAACGTAAAGTAATGGTGGCCATTCTTTGTTCCCTTTTGGGGTGCACTAGGACTGGATATGGAAATACTGTCTACGAGGTATAGTTTTATATACCTCTGGTGTCTATGTACAGTATAGTATCATGGAAGGAACATAGAACTTGAATTTAGAAAGCTTTTCCTGTACTGCACCATTTTCTAGTTTATGAAAACTTAGATAAGAAAAAACAAACGCAAAAAAGAAATTCAATCTTTTTGGCCCTCAGTTTTTACCTATAAAATGGGGATATCATCTCCATCACAGGATTGTTAGAGATATAAATAAGTTCATGTCTCTGTTACTAAAAAAAAAGATTTATTGAGTGCCTACTATGTGCCAGGCACTGTGCTAGGCACTTTGGATTCAGTGATGACTAAGATATGATCCTTGCTTTCAAGGAAGTGATAACAGTACAAATAAGAACAGTAATGTAACCTAACATTTATTTGAGCACATGCCAGATACTTTATGTATGCTGCATCCTGTGATATTCTAGGACAGTGATATGAGTCTTCCCATTGAACAGATGAAACATGCTAGGAGATGCATATAGGCCTTCGCAGGAACTCTAGGAGCTAGATATAGGCCTTACCATTTAACAGAAGAGGGATTTAGGGTACTTATTCAAGGTCAGAGTCATAACCAAGGGTTTAACCTAGATCTGTCTGTCTTCAAAACCTAGGTTTTTTTTTTTGTTTTTTTTTTTACCACTATGGCATATGGTTTCTGTGAAAACACCTTGTAAACAACCAAATACTAAATGTAAATATAGTTATAAAATTTGTTATTAACATCTATATTTATATTATTAATGATACAAAAACTTAGAATGTAACATTTTACATTTTTCCAAGTAAGCTATTAGAGTTTTGTTTAAAAATATCAGTTCATGTTCAGCAGAGCTGCTTTTTCCATCATTGTCAGCATTATATACGTTATGTTCATAATGTTGACATGAAGGCATTACAAGATTACTGTATTAGTTTTTAGTGCTGGACAACAAATAACTACAAATGTAGCAGCTTAAAACAACACCCATTCATTAGCTCATGGTTTTGTAGGTGACAACTCTGGTCATGGCGTCGCTGGGTTCTCCACTCAGTTTTACACGACTAAAATCAAAGCGTTGGCCAAGCTGTATTCTCAGGAGCTTGGAGTCCTGTTCCAGGCTCATGTGATTGTGGCAGAATTCAATTCCTTATAGTTGTAGGACTGAGGTCCCTGTTTCTTTGCCACATGTCTGCAAGGGCCTTCTCTCAGATTTTAGAGATCGCTCCCATTCCTTGCCATACAGGCTCTTCCATATTTAAGCCAGCGATAGAAAATCTTCCTCTTGTTGAATTCCACTCACATGTTGAATTTCTTTTGCCAGGAAGAGCCCAGACCCTTTTGAAGGCTAACTTGATTAGGTCAGCCCCCTCTATCCCAAGGACTATCTCTTTTTCTTAAAGTCACCCGATTTGAGGACCTTAATTCCACCAGCAAAATCCCTTTTGCCATATGACACAACATAATCATGGGAATGAAATCCATCCTATTCACAGTACCTTGTCCTTCAAGGAACAGTGGTTATATGAAAGACTGATTTCAGGAGGCCAGGGATTTGGGGAGCCACCTGGGTTTGATCAAATAACTGGGACTAGAGCCTAGCCAAGTCAGTGTACCTCAAAAAAAAAAAATCACAATCCTGAATTATCAAATAAACATTTGGCTTGAATTTTAGTGTTTTAACTTTTATTGTCATCTTCTTTGTGGAAACTGGTGTTTCCTATGTTGACGAAGGGTTACCATGTACAGGTGTACCTTGGAAATGTTGTGGGTTCAGTTCTAGACCACTGTAATAAAGCGAGTTTTACTGGTGGAGGGTTTTACCTTCAATGTGTAAAAAAATGCAACATCTCTGAAGCATAATAAGCGAAGTACAATAAAATGAGGTTTGCCTGTATATGTTTGAGGGAGAGGCACTCTTGGTTGGAGTGACTTCTTCACTTTTTGGGGTTTATCTCATTTTGTGCACAATGATAAGAGAAATGGAGTACTGGGTTTTCATAATTCTTAGGCTGTGAAGCTAAATTTAAAGACTCACCCATAGACCACACCCACTTAATACCATTTCTTTGCCTTCCCGCTAATAAGAAGGTTATCTTCCTGGGAGCCACTCTACTAGACCAGGAATTGGAGGAGAGTAATGGGCAGAGTTGTCAGCCATAGCTTGGATAGGATGACAGTATAGATGCCCTTGAATTATTTTTCTTAGCCCTGCGGTGGAAAAATATCTGATATTGTTTAGTCCATTGTAAGCTTAATTTATTCTCTTAGTGCCATAGAAATTTAGAGCTGAAAAAGGGCCTTAGAGAAGTATCTTGTCTCCTTCTCCCCTTGGGAAACAAGAGTTAAAGTCACCTGACAGTACGACCATAACAAATCAATAGCTTAATGGACATATGAGTGGTTTTATATAAAACATTGGGTTTTCCTCCAGTATCTCATTTAGTACTTGACCGTCTAATTCAATGATCCTCAAACTCTTCCCACTTTTAACAAATTAGACACAAGTAAAACATTCATGTAAATTACAGCAGAAGTCTACAGCAGTGACTTTTAACCTGAGAGAATCATTGACACCCCCCTCCCGCCACACACACACACACACACACACACACACACACACAGAAATTTGCCATGATGAACATATTAAAATCTTGGGGTGGGAGCTGAGAGGGGAGAGTGTGAAAGTTTAAATAAACCCTCCCATGATTCTGATAAGCTTTATTTAAGAATCACTTAGACGATAAGATTCTTTGTTCTATGATCCTACCCTCTTCTGTCATTGAACTATTATTTCTGCACAGAGGCTTGGAGTCCTCTCGTTGTCATCTAGTCTATCTTGCCATCTAATTCAGGAATTGCTTCTATCACACCCCAGGTAATTGATCATTCATACTTTTTACCTAAATGCTTGACATGATGAGACCATTACTTCCTAAAGGATCTTGTTATCAGGCAGTTAGGATTCTTCTGTTCGTCAAGCTAAGACTTGCAGTCAGGCAATTTCTCACTCACTAGGAGGGCTGTGGTATTTCTCTCCCAAGTTTATTCTTCTTTAAGGTAAGAATCTCTGCTGCTTTCAGCCATTGCTCCTGGTTTCAGGATCCCCATTCTAGCCACCTGCCTTTGGAATTATTCTTTGTTATGTCTTTAAATATGATGAGTAAACTCAGGACTGCCTTTGTGGGCCACATCTTCTCTCCTGTCTCTACCCAATTGCTGCAGTCACTTTCTGATAGGTCCTGCTTCTCTAGAATTCATTTTTCACAGGGTCACCAAAGAAGATTTTAAATACATCAGGTCATTTTTCTTCTGCATTTGAGGCTTTCCAATCACTTATCCTTGCTCTTAGAATAAAATGCAAATTCTCTTAACAAGGTGTTAAGACCCAGCATGGCCTTGGCCCAGCAAACGCTTCGCATCTCCTGTTGTATCTCTAAATTCTAGCCACAGTGGCCACCATTTGGTTTCTCGAAATTGCTGTTCCTTTGGAGTCCCTTCTTCCCTGTCTTCACATGGCAGACTCCTTCCTATCCAAGGCTCAGACCCAGCCTCTCCGCAGAGGCCTTTCCTTACTACCCACAAGAGTCTGTTCTTCCACCCGTCTCCTTCCTCAAGCTAGTGCCCCCCCCCCTTGTTCTGTGCTAGTGAGTATCCTGCCCATGTTGGGCTTTCGGTGAATGTTTGTGGAATAAGTGCAAAATGAGTGATCACTAGTAGATTTCTGTTACTAGAGCCCAAAGATTGTTATGTTGTGTTGGGGGAGAGGTCAGGGAAAGAGCATTTCCTTGTCAGCTCATCTTGAACATGAGATCAGATACTGGCTATATTTTGAAGGGAGAACCTGCAGGACCAGATGTGGGGTGTGAGAGAAACCAAGGAGTCAAGGATGACTCCAGGGTTCTTGGCCTGAGCAACTGGGGAAACGGAGCCTCCACCACTCAAATGGCGCAAACCAAGAGGGGAGGTCTTGCGGGGAGAAAGAGGGCAGTAACCAGGAGTCAGTTTGGGACATGAAAATGTAAGATACTTAAATTAAGATCCTTAATTTACTGTTCTTCAGTTTCCTCAGCCTTAAGAAAGGGTTAATAATTCCTCATGTAATAATTATGAGGATTTGAGAAGTCAATGTACCCAACTCGAAACATAATAATAGAGAAAGTAGGTAGAGAAAAGTAAGAATAGTCATTAGATCATAGAGCTTTTACCAAATCCTTTGGGCATTATATATGAAAACCTAAGCATAATTCACAAAGGTTTTCCCTGGTAGGATTTTAGGCTGAATTGAAATGGATTTTCCATGCTATAGGAAGATATTCAGTAATTCAGTTGGCAGTTAAGGTGGTGTTGGTTCGTATATCTGAAAACGTCTCTGTCTTGGTGGAGATCTGCAACCACGGGAGCATAAAAATAAACAAGTGTCTTATATTCACTTACTAACCTATCTTATGACCATTGCAACCTTCACCAGCAAACCTATTGAGTCTCTACCATGTATAGGTCAAAATGCTAGATACCAGAAAGCTAATATCTCTAAGCTAAGCATGTGTAGTGTTATATTCTGGGGATTATTGTGACTATTTACCAGAGTTTAACATGATAAGCTTAACACATGAAATGCACTCTAGCATTATGGTATGATAACCCACAATGCTGGGTCACATGCTGATACAGAGAGGCAGAATGGCGGAGGGCTTGAAAGGGTTAATTTGAAAGGACCACTGTGCTTGCTTTGGCCAGTACTCTGAAGTGCGCTTCACACAGCAGCCTCTTACCCTGCACAGGCAAACACTGAAATACTTTCAGTGCATTTACTTGGCTTTATTGTTACAGAAGAAAGTTTGAGAGTTGACAAGATGCAATTAAACTTAACTTTTACAAGTTCTCAACAAATTTCATTTGAAGTCTTACTATCACAATTTCCTTTATATAGAATGGATGGCGATAGTTTCACTATCTAGGTATCATGTGAACCACTTACTAGAAGCTTCCCTAATACCTAAAGCTCTTCATGTTACTTTGCATGTAAATACTCATTTTAAGCCTAATTATTCACAAATATACCTTCTATTCAAGAGTAAGTTTCAGAAAAGCTGGGGCTCCCATCTGTCTGGGTCTTAAGTCTCAGTAGGGGAGAGTACTCAGCTGTATAGCTTCCTCTCTTCCATCCCCTGAGTTGGTCTTTACAGGAAGACTTACTTCACTATTGCTTTAAGGTAAACCCTTGGCACTCTACACACACGGGCATTTACCGTAAGAGCATATACTAATAATTGTAGTTAATGTTTACTGAGTACTTGGTAAGGGCCAAGCTTTGTTTTAAGCCGTTTTCATATCTTAACTCTGTTAATCATTACCATAGTCCTTCAAGATGTAGGTACTGGGTTGTACTGGCGGCATAACAATTGAAGGACAGAGAGGTGCTGAGGTCACAAAGATTGTAAGTTAGAATTGGGTTTCAAACCCAGGCAGTGTGGCTGCAGAGCCTTGTTCTCAGCTCCTGTGGCATACTAGCTCATTCCATAAATCCTAGGTTAGGAAAAATGTGGTGAAAAACACTTAAATAACCAGTTTGTGTTTCACAAGTAAAATGTGTCATATAAGTAAATTATACATGTAATTACGTATGTATGTATTTTAAGGCCACAGTTTTAATAATTTTTATTTTTTATCTCCACAATAAAATATATTGTTGACCATTCGTTGGCAGGACTTAAAGTTATTATAGTAAATATTAATTGTGATTTTTGTTTTCTTTCTTCCCAGTTTCATGGTTTTCTCCAAATGAAAATATCCTTATTGTTATTTTCCCAATGTTGGCTATACTTCTGTTCTGGGGACAGTTTGGTATTGTGAGTAAGTATTAATTTCTATTTTTCATTTATATTTTAGTGATGAAATTATTATTTCTGGGAGGCAATATTAGTGAAAAATTTTATTTAACCAAGTTGTATTAGGAAGTGTGATCGTGTTATAAACATGTGTATAGTCACCCATAATTTGCAGCAGTTCCTAAGTATTTAAAAAAAAAAAAACAATGAATACAATGAATAGTGGGAATCCTAATATCATACCTAAAACTCATGCTGATTTTAATATTTACAGAGAATTAGACACACATTACTTTCTTTGGTGAAGTAATGGTCACAATTTACATTATAGTGTTAAGATAGGATGTTGCACTTTTGAGCATTAAGACATCCCTCTATTTATTTTCCCAGTTTGAACTTCTTTGTATACCTGTGTTCATCCTTGGAAAAGTCTAATTTGAACCGTGCTTACCACCGTTACTGTTTATTCTGCAGCCTCTGAGGAAGTAGCCACAGGAGGGTTGTGTTCTTTGATCATGTTTTGCTGTAATAATCATGTGACCAGACTTCTCAGGGCAGATCTTAATGCTGTATCAGATTTAGCATTAACGATGTAGCCTTGTCACTACTCAGTAAAAAGGAATATGCATTCTGGTTGATGATTATACTGAGCCATACAGTTCACCCTTAAACAACAGGGTTAAACTGTGTGGGTCAACTTATACGTGGATTTTTTTTTTCCAGTAAATACTGTAAATGTATTTTCTCTTCCTTATGATTTTCTCAACATTTTCTATTCTCTAGCTTACTTTATTGTAAGAATACAGTATATACATATAACATACAAAATATGTGTTGATCAACTGTTGAGTTAATCAGTGAAGCTTCCAACAATAGGCTATTAGTAGTTAAGTTTTTAGGGAGTCATATGCTGATTTTTGACTGCAGCTCTCCTAACCCCTGTGTTGTTGAAGCGTAAACTGTATTTCCATACCAACTTGATAAAGGAAATTTATTAAATTAGTGAAGTTTTGAGGTGACAGTCTAAACTTTTAAACTTTTAAAATATAAGATTTATTACTTATCTCCCAATAGTGCACTGAAGTCATGGAAAGCCAGTTAACATTTATGCAAGCAAGGAGTAAAAAAATGCTGATTTCGTTTATTTATTTTACTCTGCAACCTTTAAAACAAAGTGAAAGCTAGTAAAATATTGTAGTGGATTGGTTGGTTGTGTATTTCATGGATTTTACTTTTACTCAGAAGTTGAAGGCGTGTATATCTAAAGTGATATATAAAAATGAAAAAGGAGATGATTGGGTACATCTTTTTAAGGGCTCTTCTCAGTGGATGGCACTTTGGAAGTGCGTTGTGATTTCAAAGCTACTCTCAACCTTTGTCTAAAGAGCAAAAAAGGGGAAAGAAAGGGCTAATGGTGACAGTGATCAAGACATTTCACAACTCTCACTGTCAAAATGGTGTCTAGAATTCTTGTGGAAAACTTCTTAGAATTTTGGGAAGCGAAAGACTGGTGTAGCATCACTGACTGACTTGAAGGGAAGGCCTTTAACTCTATTGGCTGACCCAGGCCTTCAGACCTACGACATTTAATTTAGGGAGGAAATTGACTATTTTTAAGATCATGAAATTATTTCACAGGGTGTGATTTGTTGTTTTTGGGTTGATGACAGTTTGCTGATTATGGCATTTTCATTAGTGACATTATTTTTAGTAGACTGAACCAGGAGTGAGTCTGTTCCTGTTAGCCCTATTTTTACTAAATAAGCTTGACAAATTTTTTTCTGACTTAGCACTTTAGGATACCTTATACAATATAGAGAAAAAAAAACAAAAATCATCTAAAGTTCCCACAACCTAGAAATAAACTATTGGTGTATTCTAGTGAATTTCCTGCTTCCTTTTCTGTCTTTTTTTTCTATGTATTTTTGATATCTCTCTTAAAAAAAGAAAAACTATAAATGGACTTATATAGCTCATATACTTATACATTCTGATTTCCCTTTCAATGTTTTCAGAAATCATTTTATAGCTGCCTATGCTCTTTTAGGAATGCACTATAATTTTCTTAACTCTCATCTTGATAGATATTAAGGATGTTTCCAGGTTTTCTTTGTTTTTTTTTTTTTTTTTTTTTGATACTGTGAAAGTACTATAGTACCAAAGTATCACTCTGCTAAAGACATGTGAGACTGGAAATGGTAGAGATTTTTAAGGCTTTTGATACATACTGACAAATGTTTTCTAGATACATTGTATCAATTACTACTGTAGATGAGAATACCTGTCTTTTACCTTACAATCCTGACATTATAATTCTAAAATGTTTGCTAGTTTGATTGGTAAAAAAAAATCTTGTTTTAATTTTCACTTTTGTGTTAGTGAGGTAAATGTTCTTTTTTATATTCATTTTACTGATCATATTTTAAGGAATGTGCTTATGAACCTGGAAATATTTTGGTGGCAATTTTTTTTTTAGGCTCATTTTAGAACAAATAACTGTGTGTGTGTGTGTGTGTGTGTGTGTGTGTATGTAGAAGATACATATATACCTGATTCGCCTAGCCTGTACTGACTTTTAAAGGTGTTTACGATAGATAATAATAATACCTAAACATTTGTGGAGCTCTTGCTCTGTGTGGTAGTTACTGTGCAAAGTTCTCTCCATCTGAAATCATACTCAGTTCTCCCAGGAACTTTATGGGAGTAGGTACTATTAATAATTACCATTCCCACTTTATGGATAAGAATCAGGCACAGATAGATTAGATAGTTCGCCTACAATCATCCATCCAGGTGTTTCTTTGTGGTACTGGGATTTGAACCATTGTTATTTACCACTACGCTATAGTTCCTCCCTGTCTTGAACTTATTTTTTTTTTAATTAAAGTTTATTGGAGTGACAGTGGTTAGTAAAGTTACATAGGTTTCCAGTGTACAATTCTATAATAATAATACATCATCTGTTCAGTTGTCGGAAAAGTCATGATGCATTTTTGCAACGAAAAACAGAAAACAATACATCATGACTTTTCTGACAACCCAATATATATCACATTGTGTGTTCACCATCTGGAGTCAGTTCTCCTTCCATCACCATATATTTGATCCTGTTTGTCTTGAACTTATTTTGAGAATGTTTTTTTTCCCCCTGAAGAGTGAACCTGTATCTGGGTACACAGACTGAATAAATTAAACTGATATTGATAGAGCAGAATGTGGACCTGCTTGGTTTGTTTAGTCAACAAATGTCTATTAACAGATGCCTACTGATTGCTAGGCACGGGCGATATGCACAAAATATGGAGGTAAACTGCATAGTGCCCCTAGCTTTGTAGCACTCACATTTCTGTTGAGGGGACAAGTAAGTGGGCATGTTCTGTGCCTTCTGGGACATCTTTGGGATAGACATGGATCTAACCCTACTTTTCTTTTGGTACCTTTTGTAAGAGGCCACCTGTTTATGCCCTGGGGATTCAACCAGCAAGAGAGTCCCTCTGGTTTCCATTCGTTGCTTCATTACACACTTTTTGGGGTGTGGTATCTTACAGTCCCTAGAGTAGTAATAGTAACTCAGACACGTGACTGCCACTTTTTAGATCTCTAGTTCTCCTTAACTTCTCCTGATTACCATTTATGGTCTGTACTTGACCACAGGGGTTTCTCATGGTGGTTTTTCTATCTCAGCATGTCAGATAAAACCTGAACCTTCTGTAGGCTAAAGAAACATTCAGTAAAGGCAGCAGGTTATGCTTTCACTTTGAGGAGAAAGAGTTTCTTTATACCAGAATGGTATCTTGAACTGATTTCGGGATGCCATTGAGCCTATTGAGGAAGACTGAGAAGATGTTTGAGCTCCTGAAGCCAGCGAAGGGCTCTCAGATATGGTGAGCTCTAGACTTTTCGCCTTTTAAAGACAAAGGTCTCTTAACAGGGAAATGTTCCTAAATACCTTTTCCTTTAGCTTCAAATTACGAACTTTTAAGCAGACTCTTATGCTTAGCAAAGAGCTCGGAGATTACTAGAATCAAACAACTAAGCCTTAACCGAAATAACAAATCTCTCATATCATTGAAGGTCAGACACTTTGTTTTTTGTTCTGACTCACAATTTTCCACTCCACTGACAATTAAGTTCCTGGCTGTTTTTCAGGGATCTTTTTCTCCACTCTGACCATATAACAGGTACTTTCCATCATTTAGATATTTGGTAAATGATTTCAAGAATGCTGCCTACCGAAACCTCTAGTTCCTATAAGATTAAGGTTCAATTCCATATTAAGAACTGGCTGACATTTTGATGTCTTTGAGATAGGTGTATCTGGGCTTACTTTTCCCTCCTTGGAACTTTGGTCGTATACAAGGAGTCCTCCATTTACACAGACTTGGGGACCATAAGCATGACCATGTAAGACAAAACTCTGTAAAGTATTCTAATAAATGGGAAAAATTACTATTGCTCCATGACCTCTAAAATTTTTTGTCAAAACATTTAAAACACCTCCTATGTACATCTGAAACTAATACAATATATTGTATGTCAACTGTAATTGAAAAGTAGTTTTTTTTTAACTCTTACTGTCAGTAATAACTGTATTCGGTAATGAAAAAATAGTAAAACTAATATTTAGTACATAGTAAATTAAAACATTGAAAACTGAAAATTAAAGTGTTTTATCCAAGAGTCGTTTTAACATTGCTTGTCTTCTTGTCATAGGACTTCGAATACAGAGCAAGCATCTTTCCAGTGCCTTGGTGAATTGCCATACTCCTTCTAAGTTTGAATTAGCTTCCAGCATTTTATCCGTTGCGTTTTCAGTGTCATGAACTATCTCTGAGAGTTCCTTTCATGTAAAGCTTTTTGCCAGAGTCACTTCTTCTGGGATATCTTTATTCTTTGTGTCACAACCTCCTCCCTGTTCTAATGTATGCCAGTAAGTTTGCTTTTCCGAAGTTCCTCTGGCTGTACATCTAGAATCTCTTGAAAGGCAGTAGTTGACATTCCCACAGTCAGCCCTTTCTTCTATAA